TGGTGAGAAAGACAACTCACTAATGGATCTAGGGTATTCTAAAGGTGTATTTATTAGCCAAAATCTTTAAGGATTGCAAGAGTCTTTTCAACTTCAAATTGGAATATTTGAATAGATTTATATTGTTTTCGAAAATAGGGCACTAGTAAGAAAAAAACTGTCCTCAAAATCACTGGATATGAGATCATAAAATCAAAATTTGTGCATGTATTAGTAAGGGTTAACATTCATGTAAAAATAATTTTTAACAAGTAGGGTATAACAATATAAACCTGTAACTATTTTATTCTGACCTCCCAAGAAAAATACTCATATTTAGTCATATTTGTGCTTCATGTATAAATTAGTGCACGCTTCTTGGAAACTGAATATAAACTTAGTCAATAAAGGATTACAATTAAGTTTGTTGGAAGAAATTTAAATTTATCCCCAAATTAAAAGTCTAATAAGGACATAGAAACTTTTTTTATAAGTAACTGGCAACAATTAAAAAATGTGGTCATATTATGAAACGAGTGTACGTACTTTTATTCGCGCTCAGATTCGTAAAGTTGGAGCACATTTTTACCAAACAACTAGAAACATAAAATCATTAATTGTCCAACCAATTTATAGTCTGCCACTATGCTCATTGATTGAGCCAAAAAAAGCAGTAACAAAAGTTAATCAAGGGCATATTAGATTTTCTCTTTTGACATCCTTCCAAAAATTTTCATTTAAAGTACAATTCTTTATATAAAACAAACACTCAAAATGGAAATTTTCTCTAAAGTAAGAGAACCGAGGGAGTAGATCATAACACTACATACTATGTCAAATGATGTTGTCGAATAGAGCCTAAATGAATTTGAAATAGTTATGACTAATGAGTAATAAAATTTTAAACGTATTTAAATAAAGATAATTCAAAGTTTAGGAATATCTACCACATTTTTATCCCTACAACCAAACTATATTTATATTTCTCAGAAAACTAAGGTGATATTTGGTTTGGGTAAATAGACTTGGGAAGTGTAACTTCATGGAAAGTGCATAAAGTATTTATGTTTAGTTTGAATTATCAATTCTACTTCCAGGAAAGTAAATCATCTAAATTCTCTAATACAAGGGAAATAAAAGCTTCTCCAATATAAATGTGGATTGCTCTTATTTAATTGTCACATCAGAAAATAAAAAGATTTTTTAAAAAAATACTCTCTAATGCTAATGTTTATTTAGTATGTCAAACTCATGTATCAAAAAAATAAATAGACATTATTTATCACACTTTCTATTTCTAGAGAATTTCTTAGAGAATATAGGCATTTATTACTCTATAGACACTATATTAAATTGTGGACCTAGAAAAGAAAAGAAGAAAGAGGATGCAAAAGGATCTGAAAGTAGTGCATTGGAGAGAGATTGTTAAAGTTCAACGTCTATAAATAGATATTCAGTCACATCATTATTTACATCTTCTATTACATATAACACATCAGCCACAATCTCTATTAGTGGTGGAAATATTCTAAGTTATTTAGATATGGTTAGGAAAGTTGCAATTGTGCAGTTAAGTGTAATGAAATCTCCTATTATTGTATTTGTAGTTTGGGAGTAATTTACTTCTCAGGGAAGCTTATTTGCACACTAAATATGTTCAAATTATATTTATTGGAGAATAATTTTCTTGCAAGCGTAGTTTTTAAGAAGTATATATCGAGAAATAGGTCATCTTAAAACAACCTAGGTTTCATATATTCCCTAAAAGAAAAGTTTAAGACAATGTATATTTTGAGATAAATTCCATTGACCGTCATAACTCCTGACATGATATTAGTAAAATTCCTTATCTTCATAATTGAATAGTTTGTTTTGAGGGTTAATAACAAGGTAGATATTATTTTGTCTACAAAAGGGAGTAGGTGAAAGCTCATTAAGTAGAGAAGGGAGCAAGTGAAATTGGGTTAGTAACTACAATTTTCATCAATTGAGGAAAGAAAGAGAAAGGAGAAAGAAGGGAAATGAAAGGGAAAGTTTCAAATGACCCCACAATTATTCAGATAGAAGAGATTTCAACTTAAATTATTATATGGCATACTTGGAATTACAAAACTATCGCACGTGCCAACAGAAATATTTTTCAGAATAAAAGAATTCCTATGTCGGAAAGTGATGAATAAACTTATTCAGAACAACTTATTCATTAATTAAAGATTAATTGCTATGTAATTAACCTCAAAGCGCGTGAAAGAATTTACCCACGAATATTTCATAGCTGTTCTGGATTTCATCGCGGCTACTCTCTATAAATATTTCTTTTATAGCAATTAATCTTGTGAAAATCATATGCTGAATTCGTGTATATTTTACAGCTTAAACCACTTTTTATAAATCATATAAAAACTTTTTGCAGAAACTACACTAACTTACAAGTCAAGAGATGCTGCTTTCAGAAAAGAAAGTTAAGAGATGCTGTTACACGTAGTCATGAGACAAATTTGGCAAACAACCAGTTGACTACAACACTTCACAAAGGCCGTTATCATTGCCGCATTCTGTGCAATTTACTTGACTCTCCTCCCTTCACCATCACTTCATCTTTTCATGTGGTCTCTCTCTCTCTTTTTTTTTTTTTTTTTTTTTTTTTTCGGGTTCATAGCAGCTTAAAAATAAAACCTAGGGTTATTCATAGTATTACTGGCCTTAAATAGAAGAAGGTTTGAAGGGACAATGTAATATTTTTGACGATATATATATCTCACCTATAGTTGACCCGTCATTAACTCCAATAACCTTGACACTGATACTTTAAGTGTAAAAAATTTCCTTAGTATTCTTTAATTACACTACATATGGAAATAAGTTTGTTGTACGGTCCGTTATAATATATATCATAGGTATGATATATTTTAAGATCTACAAGCCAAACAGGGAGTTAGGGTGGAAAGATGGGCTACATTTAAGGTAGAGAGGGAGCAGTGGAAATTTGGGATAGTTCAGGTACCAGCCTCAAATTTTTGTTCATCCCCTCGATATTTAGTTGAGGAAAGAAAGAAGAGAAAATGGAGAAAGAAGGGAAAATAGAAGAACGGATGGCAACAGTTTTCAAATCTCTGTACTCTCTCTATCTCAAATAATATTTCAGATAGAAAGAGATTCCAATGAGCTTAAATTATATAATATTATGGTCCATTACGTAGCTGGGAAATTTTATCATCAAAAGACTTACTTCCCGGCATCGTCCTGGCCTAACAGTCACATATAAATTTTTCAGAATAAGAAGAATTCACGTTATGGTCCCGGGAAGAACGATTGGACTTGATACTAAATCTTTATACTCTAAGGCTAATCTACATTGAACCCCGTTATTCAATTTTATATTTAAAGTCTATTTAATTGCATGTAATTAACCTCAAAGGTGCCGCGGTGAAGAGTAGAATTTACCCCAGACGGAAATGATTTTCATCTAGCCTGATTCTTGGTTGCATTTCCTGAACCGGCAGGACTAGCCCTCCTATTCAAAATATTTTTTGTTATATAGCCAAGAGAATTACTATTCTTGTGAACAATCTCTTTATGTCTTGAACTCGGTGGGTATATTTTATCCAGCCTACTTAAACCACTTTTTTGAAATCAGTATTAAATAAAACTTTTTTGCAAAACACCTACACTAACATGTACAAGCTCAAGATGGACTCCGCCTCTCAGCTTTCAGGAATACCGAAGTTAAGAAGATGCTTTGTTATCACGTAACCGTATCATGTAGAATCACGAAGAAATTTGGCAGAACAACCAGATAGACGAACGAAAGGCACTTCAACTACAACGACCTTGTTACATTGCGTCATTCTGCTGTGCAATTACTTGACTTCTCCTCCCCTTCACCCTTGATCACTTACAGGTCTTTTTCATGTAGGGTCCTCTCTCTCTCTTTTTTTTTTTTTTTTTTTTTTTTTCTTCCTACTGCCATTGAAGTATTTGCAACCAATGGGTCAATTAAACGCCCATTGACGAAGACTAATGGAGAAGCAAGGGAAGTGTCGTCAGATCCGTTGACAAGACTTTCCAATTTATGTAGTAGTATATAAACACGTTTTTAATAATCGTCCTTGGTGCCACAATGCACTTATTTTAGAACCTTCTCAAAATTTAAACGTAAACCTTATTCTATATTATATAAGATCATAGATTTTGGGAGACAACTCCACTATTCAAATTATAATAGGTTCGACTCTGAATCCAAAAAAGGAAAATAACGTATGCCCACTGTGGACAGAGAAGAAAAATAAACTAAACAAAAGAATCTTTCATCGGCCAACATTAATAAGGATAACGGACTAAGTATGTATTATCTAAAAATTACTATTGACGTATAGTAAACTCGAGGTTTGATCTCACATTCAACCACTGCATAGAGAATGAAGAATTGGAAAAGCAAAAGAATTATAATTTAATAGACAGGGCTGAAAAAAAAGAAAAGATGAAAAAGACTCAACAAACCTTAGCTATCACTCTTATTTAGCAAAGCCAATTCTGTGGCTACTCGCCACTAACATCTCCAATCGAAAGCGGAAACATATAAAAAAAAACTACCGACGACACAGAAAAATTGAAAAAAATAAAAAAGAAACCCCCAATATATGGTCCAACACAGTCTATGTTTTTAGACTGTTTGCTAACTAACTTTACTTGAATAACTTCATCATCTCTTTCTTACTACATTATAAAATGACTGTATTTATTGTCCCCTCTAACGACCTTTTTTTTTTTTTTTTTTTTTTTTCTTCCTACATTAGATTTAACAATGTATTTAAAAAGTTAAATAATGAAGCGGTGTTGAATCAATTATTGAGAATAAAGTTTAATAACGTCTTGGTCAGCATATTAAACTTTAAATTTACTACATTATAATCAAGTTTGGAGACAAATTATCAAATTAAGCATTAATCCAAAAAGAAAATAACGTATCACGTGACAGAGAAAAAAAAAAAAGATTCATCGCAAATTAGATAACGGAAAAGTATGTATTATCTAAAAATACTATTGCGTATATAAACTTCGAGTTTATACATTCAACACTGCATTAGAGAGAGATTAAACCAAATTTAATAATTTAAGGCAAAAAAAGAAAAGAAAAGAAAAAACAACTTTGCCCTGCTACTGCTAACCAACAAAGGGAAAAATAAAAAACACCACCACACAGAAATTAAAAATAAAAAACCAAAGCAAAGTCTATAGTTTAGACTGTTTTGCTACTAACTTTACTTAACTCTCCTCTCTTTCTTCTATTTAAAATACTATTTTATCCCTCTAACGACCTGCCACCTTCATCGATCAAACAACAATTTGATCCAAATTCAAAAGTTTTAACTTCCCATGTTCTACAACGGATCTATTTCAGTCACGACAATGGGGCTCCTAACCACATGTTGTTTCCCATCCGACCATGAAATTGACCCGTATACAGCACCCGAATCATCCAGCATCAGATTCCGGGTATCAGCTGTCATTGTCACAATGAAGCTCCGTTTCTTCACCGCCTGGCTGAAAACTAATTTCGTTGGTTTGACAGTCACTGTCACACCTTTAGGAGCTTCAATTTTGGGGCGATAAACTGCATTTGGCGAAGAACCCACATTAGTCACAGTTCTAATAAACGACTTGGTTGCTGATCCCTTTGCTGAGCTTGAAAACAATGCTGCAATTGAAGGATAGTTTAGATTCTCAGGCAAAGGCCTTTTCGCCGGACAAGTCACAGGTGATCGCGTGATCACCTGAATTGCTTTTGGACTGTATCCAATTCCACACAAGTAATTTATATAATCATTGTTAGTAATATCATAAACAAGTCCTGGATCCATTGCACGGTCGAGATTGAGACCTCCTGCACCAAAATCATAAGGCGTGGATGCTTTTCCGGTAGCCTCGTCGATCATACGGCGATTCATATTATCAAGAATGTTAGCAGTAGTCATCATTGCAGATCTAATTGCTGCAGGGCTCCAGTTTGGATGTGCAGATTTAAGCAAGGCGGCTGCGCCACTTACATGAGGACAAGCCATTGAAGTTCCAGAAAGAATGTTGAATTCAGTTTTCCTTGAATCGGAATCTAAGCCTGTTGGACCAACTGCATCAGTCCAAGCAGCAAGAATGTTAACACCCGGAGCAATTAAATCCGGTTTGAGAATTTCCGGATTTAATCCATTTGGCCCTCGACCGGAAAATGAAGCAACAACAGGAGCTGGTTTGATTCCAATAACAGTACCCTTGAAATCAATGGTAGCTGTAGGGTTATGTGTTGAAGCAATATAAGCTTTCACAGCATCACCTTCATCAGACCCAACAGCACAAGCAGGAATAAGATGAGCGTCTCCGACGAGACCTTCGCCGTTGGAAATTCCATTAGCAAGAATCATGCCTACACCGCCAGCTTTCTTGACAACCAAACCTTTAGCCACTCTTGGACTACTTCCGCGATCACAAATTACAATTTTACCCCTAACCATTAGAGGATCAAGAGAATTTTCCATACATAATGAAGCAGAGAGCACTCCCGATTTCCCTGGGTAAACCAGAGGAAACATTTTTCCATTTAGAGGCACTCCAGAGTACAAAGACACACCGGATAGTCTTCGCCCATTGCCGAGAATCACATCGGCCGGAAAATTCCTGTCAATCGTTCCGGCACCAACTGTGCAAAGCCAAGGTGCTAGGTTTGTAACTGACATTAAATTAGGCCCATCGTTACCAGCCGAAGATGATATAAAAACGCCTCTAGCAACGGCACCGTAAGACCCAATTGCTATAGGATCAAGATAATACGGCGAGGAAATTCCATCGCCGCCGCCAATGGAGATTGATATAACATCAACACCATCAGTAACTGCTGTATCAAAAGCAGCTAAGATATCGGAATCAAAACAACCAGAATTCTTCCAACACACCTTGTAAACCGCCAATCGTGCTTTTGGAGCCACACCTTTCGCAATTCCAGGCGCGTAACCCGCCATGTTTGCACCGAAAGAGTGCCTTCCCGCCGCCGTCGACGCTGTGTGAGTACCATGCCCGTCCGCGTCTCTCGGCGATTTGAACTCAATAGTTTCGTTTATTCCACCACCTATCGGCCCAGCCGATCTCGCTGCCGCTTCATGTCCTTTCAAGAAAAAACGAGCCCCAATTAACTTCTTATTACAATTTTTAGGGGAGAATTTCACACCAGTTTCACAAATGCCTTTCCACCGCGACGGCACAGGCCCAAGGTTTACATCAGAGAAGCTCCGGCGTTCAGGCCAAACTCCGGTATCGAACACTCCAACAATGACATCGGATCCATAGTCGGATTCGGACCAGAGACCGCGCTGATTCCGAAGCCCGAGGAACTGAGGGGATCGAGTAGTGTGAAGCTGGCGGCGACGATCCTCGAAAACAGCGAGAACCGAAGGATGTTTGCTTAGATTGTCGGCATGGTCTGGAGTTACAGTGGCAGAAAAGCCATGGAAAACGGTGTCGTAGACATGCAGGATTTGGAGTGGATCAGCGAACTCGGAGCTGTACCAGTGATAGTGAGTGGGGAAAATGGACGGCTTAGATTCAGAGTCGACACGGAAGATAAAGGTTTTGGCCGTCTGATCGGATGAACGTGTTGGAAGAGGCAAACTGGAGACGAAGAAATAGAAAAGGAAAAGAAAAGAGAGAAATGTAGCCATGAGAGAGCAGCAGAGGCCAGAGAGTGAAGTGGAGTGAAAGAGAATGTGTGGATGACCGACAGATATACGAAAGATTTTAACTTTAATTTTTTAGTTTATTAGAATATTTAATTATTAATTAAATTTAGTTAGATTGATGGTTTTAATTAGAAATTTATAAGCATTTTTATTTGTTGGCATTTGGAAACATCGACGGATGTTGATCTTGTCGTGGAGGTGGGGTCTGCTGAGTCAGCCCTATTTATGCGGGACCTGGATCATATAATAATATCATACGATGTCGTTTGCGTTGGAATTTTCCTTTTAATGCAGGACTGAGATTATGTGTCAGTATCTGAAATCTGTTTCCTTGAAAAAGAAAATAGCGATAAGGGAAAAACGTACGAATGGAACCAGAACAGGAAAAAAATGGAAAAAAGCTAAAGCAAAAGCAAAAGATTTTAACATCATTTAAAGTGGAACGACAATGGAATGATGTTGGTGGTGGTCGTTTTACTTTTGCTTTTGGGAATGGACTATATAAGACCAGCAGACAAAATTATTTTAGTAGCAGTTCGTTGCACATGATATTGAATGATTGCCGTTGGATTAGTGGGAGTCACTTAGCCTTCATCAGATAAGGAAAAAAAAACGCTTAATGTTATTTTCATTTTTTTATCAATTACGGTTCGAATAGGAAGGAAAAAGCACTTCTTTAAAATTATTCCAAAAATATATTTAATCTCAACATACAAAACTTAACCTGAAAAAGCGCTATAACCCTTTGTAAGAAAAATATGTCTCCTTTAATATTATAGAATAGGATATGAAATCCGCTCAAAATTTCTTTCCAATTCTATGATTTTTAAGATGAATTTCAGTTATACTTTATTTCTTGAAAATACCTTGTCCGAAACATATTTTAGATTTTTTTAATTTTATAGCGTTCGAAAAGATCAATTAATAAAAAATATATCTAATTATTGAATGAAAAACTAAACTATAAAAATAACTTGTAACTTAAAAAAAAAAAAAGCATTTTTTCAAACATTAAGAAAATTATTATAATTCGACCTACGAATTGTGGTTTAGTTGGCAAAGTAGGCTGAACATGAAAAAAATAGTTTTCGGGTTCGATCTTAATAAACGCACTTGCAGAGAAAGACGAAAAGTCTTAACTATAACTAAACTCCTAACCGGATTAAACAGCCTCTGATAATAGGGTCCGGATACCGATGGTTTACACAAAAAAAAATTATTATAATCATATAAACACACATTTGTTAATCTATTAATTATCAGTAGTCATGACGAGCAGTCATTAGTTACTAACAGCTGCTATTATTAGTCACTAATGATAAAAAACTTTTAAAATGTGAAATTTCTATATTTTAAATTTTTTTATAAGTTTATAAATTAAAACTGACAATATATTTTAACTAATTCTCAATATTGCAATTAATAATAGAAATAAATTATTTTAAAAAATATGTTTAATGGATAAATGATTTTTCAGAAATAAATTGGAGCCAAAACAGTAATTTAAATTTTTTACTTGGTGAAAAGAATCAACTCAGCATGATACCAAAAGATAGTTATGATATCATTTAACTGTATAGTTTGCTTGTTCCAAAAAAAAAAAAAAAAGTACTTGGTGAAAAGAATCAAAACTCAGCATGATTACCAAAAAAGATAGTTATTGTATCCATTGAAACTTATAGTTTGTTTGTTCCCAAAAAAAAAAAAAAAAAAAAAGCTTAGAGTTTGCTGTCATCCAAATTTGCTCAATCATTTACTGCTTATATTTTATAAAAAAAAAAAAAAAAGCTTATAGTTTGCTGTCATCCAATTTGCTCAACATTTTACTGTTAAAATTAGCCAGAAGGGATGTTTTCCTTATAAATTCTCAGGCAATCTATTACTATAATAGTCAAGATTGATAATTACGTGTAGCAACTATGTTATACCATTTAGTCAAGATTTTTATTTTTAAAAATTAATTTAATAATTTTTATATTTATAATCATTTAAATACATATTTCTTCCATTAAAATTAAAATTTATTATAATATCTGTATAGTATAATCATTTAATTATATTCAATAGGGGTGCAAAGCTAAATTTTAAATTAGTTCAAACTTAGTTCATTAAATTAAAAAATAAATTACTATCAAAATTGTATAATGCTTGCAAATTTAAACTAACTTAAATTGGTTTAATGCAGCTTAAGTTTTTTTTAATCGCGATAAATAGTTGAACTTGGATTTGACATAATTTTTTTTTTAAAGATATTTGTTTAATTATTAATGCTTATACAATTAAAGCTTCTTCTCTTAAGGGATTATTAATTCCGTTAGTAGTTGTGTCGCAAATGATATAATTTAGACATTTCGTATCTTAATCTCACATGTATAAGAGTATAATATAAGAAGACGTGTCTTCTTGAGGTGAAGAGACCGACAACACGTGTAGACCCTCACATATTAATGATGAATTGATTGTTTTGTTCCATTCGTTAAATAAATATATTTTTGCATGTAATTTGAAAGGCATACCTAACTAGTTCTGTTCCAAACATAATGTAACAACAGTGTCATGCCAATTCTCAACTCTAAATCATGCAATTTACCAACACAAAAATATCATTGATTTTTTTTTCCTTTAAAAAAATATATAATGCTAAATATTTTCTCATGTCTTCAAAGAAAAATACAGTCATAATATATTTTTATTTGTTTAAATGAGACAAAATATCTGGAACCACAACTAGTATATCATGTCGGATATGGCTCTACTAATGTCACGGCATGTGTCCCTGTTGACGCGGATCTGTTTAGGTCCAAACGAGAGGCCTGAATTGGTAAGTCATTATATCTTTAGAACAGTACCAAGAGAGTCATATACACCTATGGCCCATAAATTATAAATATTGTATAAATATTGTAACATTTATGAATTTTTGTATTGATTTTTTACAAAGTATATCTTGTTTGGAGGACACTCTCGGAATCCCTATAGGTTTGGAAAAAATTATATTATAAACAAACACGCGAATTTATACAAATAAATCGAATTGCCTAACGTATTCAATTATGTTTAACCTCTCTTTCTTTTTTATGTCTCAATTTCTTATATTTTTCTCTTATTCCTCTTATCTTTACTTTTCTTCGTCTAAACTCTTTTTATTTTTATCCCATTATGTTCTACTAAGTAGGCCTTGGCCAGTTTATCCAACCTATCTATAGCCACTCATGATAGACACATGCTCAATATGTGCATAATAATTTTAGACTGAATAACTTTTCTAGCACTCTGTGTAATCCTTCTATAGATTTTGTTAAAATATCAAGATACTAGTGAAATCGATCAATAATTTGGTATCTTTAAGTTCAGACAATTTTATATATCTAATTGAAAGCTCAACCCTTGAAACGTGTCTTACCGAAAGCTCAACCATTGAAACTGACAAATCGGCATGCTAGACGATTTGTGTTGAAATATTCGAGAGAGCCTTTCGATAGATTGTGAAAGAAACACGTATAATATGTGCAGATATACAGGATATTATGATGATCCTACATTATAGCATGATCCGATTTACACTTAAGAGGCATGGTCAATCTCAAGAACAATAAGCTAACAACCATCGAATAGAACCAAGTACAATATTCTCAAAAATAGAACGGTCATATGACCTAAGCTTGCTAAAGACTTAGACATTGAAAATCCGACCATCCATAGACAATCAACCTTGCGAACAACTCTTGGTCACAAGTAAATAACAACTAGTCATATGAATGGACTGAAACTAAAACATATGATCACTTGAGCTATCAAGATGGCTTCTTTTTTAAAATAATGGCTGTTCGGCCAGAAAATAATTACAATTCATCTAAGCGAGATTATTACCATGATAAATTTATTTTGTGCCTAGATGAAAACGGTAAAAGATACCAAATTATTAACGAAATATTTTGGTATAACAGATAACTGATTCTAATTCACACTTGAGGACAATATCATTAATTTCAGTCCTGTTGTAGTTTGAAAATCGAGATTAGATAATAATTTTCAATCTTTTAATTTCTTTTTTAGTTTTGTAGTTTTAATAAATAATAATACTCTTGAAAAAAATTAAACAAATTTAATAAAAAGTGTTCAGATTTTATTTTGAAATTATAATAAAATAAAAAACAATATTGAGAGTCTATTTATATTTTTTTCATAGTTTTAAATTAAAACCATCAGTTTTAAACCAAAACCGTAGAATTTCAGTTGTAAAAAATAAAGCAATAGAACTAATCAGTAACCACAACGATTTTGGTTATGATTTAAAATTAAAAACCGCTGACTATGATTTGGTGCAATTTTGACTATTTTAGTTTTTATTCAATTCTGATTTGAACCGAACAATGGTCAATCCTAGTACGGAGAATATTTATACTATAATTTATTGCCATTTTACTTAATTTGAAGATTTAAAGAAATTGATTTGAAGTAAAATTAATATGTAATTATATAAAAAATAGTGTGTATAACAATAGGTTTAATGAAAATACTAATACAATACTTTCAAATACACTAATGATTGCATATATAGTTAATCAATAATGAATGTTAAAAGGTATATCATGCCAAATTACAAATAGCAACAAGTACCATGTATATTTGTACACAAAATAATTTCACATTAGAGCCAGATAAATGAGGAGGAGCAACTAATATTTATTATATACAACACAAAACATGGCAAAATTCTGAATTCCTCATGCAAATATCTAACGTTGGCATTTAGTGATAACAAAAAAAAAAAAAAAATGAAAGAAAAAAAAAAAGAAAATATCTAAAAAGTAATATTTGGGGGGAACCGTGATGTTTCCTTTCGCTAGTCAACAAAGAGTGTGATCCATGTAAGAAATTTGGCCCACTGTACTTTTTTTATAGTCACTGTAACATCAATCTGAGACCGGAAAAAAATTACATCATATCAGAATGAGCTGGAACGATAATTATGATAGTTGGATGAGAGCTGAGAGATACACGAGATACAAGAATTAAAACTCCCATGAGGT